GGGTGCTTAGGGGCTCAATTTGCCCATGGGTCCTTCAGATGTGGAGGTCCCCTGGAATAATTATGTGCCACTGGCTGGGTCCTGCACCACTTGCCATTGCCATTGCAATTGTCCACAGTCCTGGCTCTGTTACATTCTCACCGATCCCCCTAAGCTCTCACTAGGAGGGGAACCTATACTTAGACATTCAACGCAAATTTTTATTCAAACACGTGGTTTTGCATCCAGATGTTTAAAAGTTTTTTGAAACTATTCCTGAACGTGAATGACATACCAGAATAATTTCCAGCATCGATGTGACTAGGGGTCAGAATAATTTATAAATTATTCCAGGGGGGCCTTGAGAGGGGGTCCCCTTAAGCCACGACCCATGATTTTTCATGCAGAATCATGCGGAGTGGTTGAGCGTACTTGGAGTGTAACGTGTAAACCGTTTCGCATGCGAAACGCATGCTGAGGGGTTGCGGTGATTTTTGTTCCTTTCTTTTTCCAGGGCTGGCTAGCACAAAGAAATCGGTTCAGAGGACTGGTTTGCCCCTCGGAACTTCGAAACAGCAATCTTCCTCGTAGCTTTTGCATGTGCATGATCTTCATGTGATTATAGCTCTGCCAGCTTCTCTAACCAAGCCCCACTTCCATTATCATTCACAAATTGTTAACAAATATACCGGAGGTCGAGATAGACAAGTCAGTAGAATGATGGTGATACACAGTAGAAATTTAAGAGTTGCCACTGCTGGTGTTTGTTCCCCACATCTCAGGCGCAGGTGCCAAAGCTGCCAAGGCCAGGAGCTCTCCCCAGATCTTGGGGAATAGACGTCGAGGTTTGAGGAAGCAGTTTCAGGATCCACATGGCCTCCAACCTGATAGCAATGGCCTCCAGCCTAATAGCAATAGCCTCCAGCCTGATAGCAATGGCCTCCAACCTGCTAGCGATGGCCTCCAACCTGCTAGCAATGGCCTCCAACCTGCTACTGTAGCAATGGCCTCCGACCCACGAGCGATGGCCGCCAACCTAGTTTTGATCGAGATGTTGAAGTGATGAATGTTTACACAGAAGGCGGCTGTGGCGGCCGTTGCGGCTGCACCTGCTGCACCGGCGGTGGAGCTGGAGCTGAAAGTACACTACGCAGCGTCAGGGGCAGAGCTGGTCTCATTAAAGTGGTCGGGGTGCTCAGACCCCAGTCTAACGGGAATACCCGGAGTGTTTTCCGTTTCTATAGTATAGTATAGTATAGTGTAGTATAGTATAGTATAGTATAAAATAGTATAGTATAGTATAGTATAGTATAGTATAGTCAGTTGTTTTTGTGTTTCATGAACCTCGGCCCACCGAGCATAGTCACTTCCAGACTACCTCTTGTGGCATGATGCGTGCACCCTAAGGGCTGTGCACATCACCTTTCAGTTTAATACTGAGACTGTCAGATCAATCAGTTTGCACATATAGTATTGAACCACTGACCACATCTTCCCTGCACACACCTTTAATTAGATTTGGCAGTAGCTCAATCATCCACAGGCCAAAAAACATTGTAGTGAGGACAAATGGCCAACACTTCTAGTCCCTGTCAATCCATACTCTTGAGTTTTGCAGTCAGATCCAGACAGCAACAACGATTGAATGATGTCTACATGGCCATGTCCGAGCTCACAGCTGGCTAAAGACCTTGGATTGGCTTGGATTGACATCTTTTCCTCGTCTTTGCTCCATCTGCAGGCCTTCTGACCAGACAGTGGAGGCATTACAGGAGAAACCAGCGGTGTCCAAAGAAAAGAGGGATAGGCCAAGCACCATGATCTGTTTATCAATCTTTGTGAAGGTCAATTGTCCTTCAACTTCTTGAAGAAGTGGGTTCGGGCGTAGTCAAAGGTCAAGGACATGTTTTCACAACCATGATCTTTTCGTTCACGGGGTATCCCCAAGAGTTTTGATTCTCTCATGCCCTGTGAGCCATGATTCCATGTAGATAGGCTAGATAGGCAAGGCAAAGCCATCGCCCTTCTTGCAAGGAGGAATTGAGAAAGCATTTGGAGTCTGGACAGATAGTCTGGGATCACAGAGAAACCAGAGATTGATATTCTCTGTGTTCACAAAAAAGGAACGGTCAATTTTTGCATGATCTATTTGGTCCTGCACCTGGATTTTTGATCTAGAGATATCAATTTGTTTGACTCTATGAATGCGGGGAGGTCGTAGCACATCATGGCCATATTGCTCAGGTTCAAAGCCTTCTGAAAGAGAACTATCCACTGACTGCAAATCAAACACTGCGGGATGCTGGAGTTGAGACTGGCACCTCTCTCAATGCAGTGATTGGAAGCTTGGCTGATGTTGAAAGAGCTGTTCGCAAGGGTGCTCCTCAGGCATGCGTTGGTGTATGTGTTGGATCTTTGAAGGACAGCCCTATCGTTCCATCTCGAGTTCCAAGCGATTTCTCTGCAAACTCGCTAAGAGGCCCAGGATTTGAGCACATAGATCTCGCTCTTCCCGCGTGTCCTTTTGGGTTGCCATGGCCCGCCCAGTGCTCCTTCCCGTCCTTGGTGTGGTGGCGGCCGTTTACACGGCCAGCCTGGCCTTCGTTGGCACACCACAGCAGCAGCTTCGCACCAGCCGAGTGCCTTGCCGTGTGAGCGCTGAGTACTTGGAGCGCTGCGGGCCAAAGGACTCTGACGTGCCCTTTGATCCTGCTCAGGCCAGTGGACCTGGAGCCGCAGTTGAGTTCAAGAAGCGACCTTTCGGTATCCTGCGCTGGCAGCCAGGTCAGGGCATGAAGGGTGCCATGGCAATGGAGATCATCCCCAAGTCAAGATATCCTGGTGACCCTCAGGGCCAGGCCTTTGCTTCCGGCGTGCAGAGTGGTTGGGTGGTGACCTCCATCAATGGCCAGAACGTGCAGAACGAGGATTTCGGCAAGATCATGGACTTGCTTGACGATGAAGTGGCAGACCCCCGCTTCTCCAAGTCAACTGCTTTGGCGTTGGAGAAGCAGGGAGGACGCCTTGCGGAGCCAGCAGCAGCACCATTGCAGGTCCAGTTCAACTCCATCCCAGGCTACGTTTACAAGGGTGCGCAACTGAAGGAGGATGGCCAGGATGGCTTCGCTCGCTGAGCT